TCATTTGCCCTTCACAGTCAGTGGCATACTAGTAGTTATATCTTTACGCATATTTATACTGGTAAGGTATTTTATATTAAATTTATGTGTATCAAGATTATTAATGATAAAAGCTTTAAAAAGGTATGACTTTAGTAATCTTTAGTTGTTGGTTAGATCACGATATCGCATCAAATTCGACTGTGACCCTGACTAAAAAGGGTTGATACTGACCATAAGCAATACCCTTTCCAATTAAAAAAATCATTCAATAGGTATGGGATTAACAGTAGGTGACACTGTGTCCTCGATCTTTAACCTTATGACCTCAAAATTAATAGAATATAGATCATCAATGATACAGACATTGCCTATCGGCCATTGACAATGCCAATATCAAGTAGCATTATTCAAGGGAGGTCTTGATTTTCAAACCATTTGCACCTAACCTTTGTGGTTCGAATTCTTTCATTTGAGGACAAGAGCTGTAAAGTTGCTATATGACATTCTGTGTTGATGCGACGTAAAATCAAACCAATGAAAACAGAAATAGTAAGCATGGCTTATTTCGTCTCAGGTTATTGTTTGGAAAAATGATTATATTCACTGTGACCTTGACCTTTAAACTAATGATCTAAAATCCATAGGAGTCATTAATTGCACGTGTGTAACATTTCTACCAAGTAAGATATAGGCTCGTTTTTGCTCAAGAAAATGATACGACACGGTTGTTTTATTAGGTGTCAGCTTTACCTTTGACCTAGAGATCTTTAAATCGATAGGTGCCATCTATATGTCTTCAGCAATGTACCTACAAAGATACATGATTTCAGGAGTATTCCTTCTAAAGTTTTCAACAGGGAAATAGTAACCGGACGTACGTACAGACAGAAGGACGGACAACTACATTGCAATATGCTACCATATTTTGAGCTAATCGGGATATTTTTCCCGGTTTTAGACAAAAAAAAGGAAAATTTGAGTAAAAAAACGTCATAGCAGAATACTTTCAATCTGAAAGTTCAGTCAAGTACGGAACAATATTGACTAACAAATAAGGGATACTACGTGTGGCAAAGATTCACATAATATCTATTCACCTTTTCCCCATCGAGAACATAAATTGACATATTTCGGCAAAAGCAATTGATATCTGTTGCGGGTTGCCTTGTTGAAACTGTAATAAATAAGAAAAACTTATAGATTGCTATAATAAATAAGAATTAATAAATGAGCGACATCGCTGCATGTTATCTCTTTGTATACGATTTTATTTGACCCTGTGTATATCACAAACAGTTAATGCAACTATAATAATTCAAATATTCTTACAACTTGATGAGTAAGCAAACAAATGCTAATGCCAATCCAATCATTATTTTAAATACTACAAAGTCGACAAATAGTTTTCATTTTATTCTTGTTAAAAATGGATAAATTGATGGATAGGAAATTTTGAAGACCTGATACGTGTTACACGATCGGGCCATACTCATATTATTCATAAGGAACAAACTATTAGAATCGGTAACTAGATACACAAATAAAAAAGGTCCAAATTGCAAATACTTTGCCTCAAAGCTATAAAACATTATGCAGCTCTAAACTAGTTGAATAGAAACATTAGTAGTTAACTATTTACATTATTTGTATGGTTGCGCCGGTTGTATCAGCCACATCTCTTATGAAATTCAGAATCAACACAGATCTTTTGCATTGATTTATTGATCTGGTTATCAATGTTCATGTAATACTTAGCCCAAAGAAGAGAGCTGATTATAATATAAATTATTGATTAGTTATTCAATTGTTTCTTAACTGTTAAAAGGGATGTTTCAATTGAATAATTTTATGCCAAAATTAATACACTTATATGCATAGCAAAGAGGAAAGGTACATACATTCTAGCGATGATTATACACACACATAACTCAAATAAAGAGCAGTTGGACAAAAAACCGTAAATGTTTTAAAACAAAGACGTCGTGCTGCTCTTTTATGACCCTTGCGAACGAGATGAAGCGAAGCAATAATATTAATATTCAAAGTATGGTTGCGCCGGTAATATCAGCTACACCGCTTATGAATATATGCCCAAGTATATTGTTTGTATTTTATTATAATTATAATGGTTCCTCGATGAAGAAAAAAGCAACTTATTCAATGGTTTCTAAATTTTCTGATATAATATATGCTTTAATAGATTTATCAAATGTCCCATCAAATAGATCTAAGCAGCATTAAGGGTTAACATGTTTTATTTTTTGTTTTTAATATCAATATCAAGAAAAAATACTATTGATACTATGAACAGAAAGATCCCTTATACCCTGTGGTTAAATGATACACCGAGTCGAAATACCACTTCATAAATTAGATTGCTAGTGTTACTGTTACTTAAAACCCCTAAACACACATATACATTTGCATCCGTGAAACAATATTTTGTTACAAATTGGATTTTTGTTTCATTTATCTGTTTTAATCCTGCGGTCATAAGTAAGATACCCAGGTAAGCAAGGTTTTAATTACATCTATAGCTTCTGCTTCATATTTTAAATATTCGTAATTCTAGACGATATGAATGATGAAACATTTCAAAATGATTCGTATACATAAGTTAGTTCTGAATTACGTCAATCAAAACGACATAACTTACACTCACCCTGTGTAAAGAAATGATGTTATCAAAATTTGTACTTAATATGATTTAATATATTACACCTAAAATAGAATAAAAAAACATTTTAATTAAATTGCTTTTCCGCTATTAAATCATTTCAAAACATTTGCCTGTTAAAATGTTGATTTAGTTACGTGATACCTAACAATCATTGTTATAATTGCATGTCGCTGCTTGATGTAACGAAGCGGACACATGTAAATTGTACATAAAAACTAAAATATTTTATATCTCTCCTTTTGAAACAAAACCCTCAGGACGTGTTCTTGTTTATTTAACAATCTAGTCTATAACTGAATGCAATTATTCAACATTTAACAAAAAACATATCATAAAATATAAAGTTATATTTATATATAGTTTTAAAAAAGTAATCAAAAACACGTTTCAAAATATGGAGTGATTTTTCAGCTTCTGAAAAACATCATAGTTTTTATTTAAAATTGCGGAAAACACATTGTTTTATCATATTTTTAAGTATTTATTTTATACAGTCAATATTTCACATTGACTGTTTGAATTACGTTATATAGTATACACGATGCCAGCTGAAAAAACGAGAGCTAAAAATTTATGATGGATATTTCATTTTAATTTGCAGGTTTCAGGTGCTGTGAATATTGATAGATAAGATAATAAAAGATAAGAAACATCTTCATAATGCTTTTGATGATAATGTTTATTCGATAAAATTAAATCGCCACATGTAATTAATATATATTTATCCTGGTGAATAGTACTACTTTCGATGATATTAAAGGTTATGCGCTTAGTGCTATTTTGGCATACTGTTGTGTTGTTTTTTTTTGTCATAAATATATAACAAACATAGTTTATCTTATAATCAATCTTTGAAACATTTTGAGTTCCAAAATTAAATCATTCTTATCAGAATATAATACCGGTGAGGTTAACAATTTGGCAAAATCAGGAACTATAATAACCTAATTGCTTTTACTCCTATTAAATATCACATGATATATTGTGGGTATTAGGTGATTTGACTTAGAGTTCGAATGTTTGACAAATTGTTCAAAATGTCAGCATGTATTTGGTGATCTGATAAATATAAAGACTTTCATCACTAAGTTATTTGTTTATATCAATAGGAGTATTTTATAAAAAGAGGCTGTTTTTTTCTGCATGATTTCCCACATTTTAAAGCCTTAATATCAAAAGTTATTGCGTGTTAGACTATGACGTCAAATGCTAAGCATGGTAGTTTAAATTATGTTCACCATAAATGTATTCAAATCCACTTTGTTTCATTTGCAACTGTTTATGGATTTATTTATAAATCTCGATATGTTTAAGAAGACACATAGGAAACGTATGCATAGTATCAAACATCTACAAATTCAATAATTTCTTTATAGCAAGTAAAAGGTTAAAAGGTAGCTAGAACTTTTGTAGATGTACATTTTGTTCACAACAAGAATATTTTAACCGGGAATTTTGAGAAAAAGAGATAAATAGCATATTCACTTAAAAGCTATACCTTGCCCAGGAATCGAACCAACAAAATTTGAACTACTATTTCAATGCTCTCCATTTTGAGCCTACCGGATAGAATGATATTAAATATGAAAATGACCAAAATAAGCATAAAGTACAAAATATGTAACTGTACATTTTATCAATCAAGGTTCAATTTAAACCGCCGCATGGTCAACTATTATTAAAAAATTGGAGACCAAGACATACAGCTCATAACAGATTATAATTTCCTGAGTAACATTTTTTTTGCAACTGCATAAGAATTTTTTGTACATGTAAAAACGGAATATTGTCCACGACGAAATTGATAAAGATGTATCCAGGTTAGATATTTTAAGACAATTTATTAGTTTCATTCTTAATATTTAATGCTTTTATACGTTAATTTGATATTTAAGTGTTTTGTGCGGAATTAATGAATATATGTGACTTGTTCCAAATCCAATCAATTTTATTGTTCCTTGCTTGTCTATTGACAATCAAAGAAAATAAATTGTGCAGTGTATTTAACAACGAACCTATAAAAGTTGATGTTTTTTTATCTTTTTGAAGCAATGTTTCGTGCTTATTTATCTATTGGATATGCCTACATAGTTGTAAAGATTTACTGAACCAGAACATCCTGTGTTAGTATGAAAAACACAAAAGTAACACAACTTATGGAAGCAACTTATAAAGAACGTAACAGTATTTCGAAAACGAAAAAGGAATTAATCACATTATATGTTCATATGCTCAAATGTAAACTGATCAAATCTTCCTAATCTGTTTGTTCATGCGAATAACTGCAAACTTTTTGCTGAATATTTACGACGTTGGTCATGTGACAGTTTTGATTAGCCCCTGGTTACATAAGATATAAACAAGGGTAAATTCTATCGGGTCTCATATTGAATCCATAGGCGGACAAGGCATCATGGTTAGTAACTTATTACTAGTATATACTTTAAAAAGGCATTTTCTCTCTTTTGATGTTGATACTATTGAAATTCGATATGATTTTTAATCTAGTTTCTCCGTTTATACATGCTTTCTGTTGAGGCAAAACGTTTTCTTTTTTGTACTTATTTATGGAAAAAAGGGTTTTACAAAGTTTAATACAAAAGTCATAACATTAAAAGACTGCTTCATTTTCCTTAATTTTACTTCTGTCCATGAACGACAGTTTCAGTATTTTTAAGTTGAAATTAACAATGTTTATGTGTAAATTTCATTATTTAGATAACAGTGGTACTTAACGTTTGTTAAAACCCAACTGGATTCCAGTTTTCAAGTTACTGCAACTCCAATTGACTCCACTGATTTTGTTTTCTTTTTGACATGACGGAACCGACAATATAATTTTTTGATACCTTCATACAGTTTTGATGTATAAATGTTCGTTCACTCCGTTTTTTCAGAAAAATATTTTTATCGTGCAAAATGAAATAAAACGAAAATAGTTTAAATTCTTTTAACTTACATCGGGCTGAAAATAGTATAAAATATAATTATTATTATTATTATTATTATTATTATTATTATTATTTAGTTCCGAACATATTTCTTAACTATCTTTTTCATTTTTACCGTTTAAGTTGATCTATGTAAGATTCTCAGATTTTATGTTTTTATGCCTTTAGTGGAGCTCCTCTAAAAGAAAGCGTTAATAGGTAGAGTAAATGGGAAGTCATGTTTTATTTTACATAAGTTAAATCTATACAGTTACATGTTTAACTTTTATTATATGATAAGTATTTTATTGAATTTTTCCATTTTTGATCTATAAAATGACATAAGGCCGTCATTCTTTTCTTGTAATACATATGCATCAGTTAATTTTAACTGCTGGACAAGCATACTGTTGTCAAAAATAGCATTATGTCCATTAGTAGTAGCGTCATTATAAAAATATGTTTATTGTTGTTATTTTTCTGACATATGCATTTCTTTATAAATTTCAAATTAATTTCCTAAAATGAAATAGTATTGTGATCACAATTGTCATTCAATGCAATTGTGATCTAGTTAACCTTTCCGGTAAAACAAGTTTTAAAACAAGAGCCATGTCAACATGGCCATCCCCCGCCGAATGGGTTTGCTCATTGGAAGAATATATAATGTAGTAGAGCAGAATAATTCAATTTTAAGAGGTCTTTTGGTAATGAAAACTAATGGCTGAAGTGATTACAGATTTGAAACCTATGTGAATACTGATGGCTAAAAATTACAAAGGGCAATAACTGAAAAATAATGCAGGGTAGGTTATCATTCTTGTGTGCTGCACCCCTCCTCAGTAAAATATATCCACCTATGAAGTTTCAAGTTAATACCTCAAATTCTTTTTGACATAAGCTCCGGACAAAATAGTATGAAAAAGAACAAAGGGCAATAACTAAAAATTATAAAGCCAAGAGTAATCATTCTTGCGCAATGCATTCCTCCTGAATAAGATCTATCCACCTATGACATTTCATGTTGATATCTCAAACAATTTTTGAGTAATGCTCCACTCAAAATTCATGACCTACTCTTGATACACATGTCTTAAACCTTATGCGTGTTATTTCTATAATTAATTTTTAGTATTTAAAGTCATTTGATCACACCTTCTTAATTTAACCTAACTTTTTCTTAAAAATTAACTGTATATACATGTACTGCATATGTTCTATTATTGAAAATAGTTTGCATAAGTATATATGCTGCAATACGGCCACCTGTTTCTTATTTTATTGCAGAAATTATTGAAATATTGATACCAAGTTATATCAAATTAGAGCACAATGGATCTTTCAAGATTTTCGTTTTAATTTATGACAAAAGAACCTTCAGTACGTATTTTAAGGAAAGCTTTTTTTTCAAAAGCGCGATATATAAACGTTCTGGGGCAAAGGATAAACAAAACGCGAATTATTGATAGAAAAAAGACCGCTTTTATCAGATGGAAGTTTACTGGAAGACGAAAAAATAAATTGTAGACAACCGAAACGTACATCTGTCGTTTTTGAATTTACTTCGTATGCTGAGTATGCGGGAAGCTTATCAACGCCGCATTCAGAAAAGATTATTGCAATTTTACATGTAACTAAAAGGCCGAATAAGTCCAAAATTTGCCTATATATTAATTACGCTTTTTTGTAGCAAATTCAGATTTGTATGCTTTTTACATTTTCGATTTTGTAAAATTAAGTTAGGTACTATGTGTAGCAAAATAAAAATGTAAAGTACAAGGTCGTCTTAATATTAACATTTATTGCTTTGAGCGTTTTTGAAAATAATGATCGAAAACATCAAGATTGAAATATAGGGTTTATATGAAGATATGAAGAGCTACAATTTGTCATTTAAAACAAAATAAAGAACATTGTAATCATCGGTAACCATAATACACATACTGTATTTAATAAAAACATTCAACATGATAATTAAAATTTTGTCATGACTGCTTGATTTACAGAATGTTAAAGCATATACAATTCAATGCATTACACATTACGTGCCCGTAAAGGTTTTATTTACAATTTTTAGAAAATCAAGTATATGTGTGGTATGTAGGTCACTTTAGTACAATTATAAGTTATTCTTCAAAAAGTTAAAGAACCACACTATTTTTATTTTATTATTCTGCGAAAATGGTATTTGTGTGAGTTCTCATCATTCTCTACCATAGGATTTCATCGGTGATACGCTTTTCTTGACATTTGATCTTTTTTTATTATCAAATTAGAAGGGTGGAATACAGATAATCTGACTCATTAAAACAGGACAACAGATGTACATGTACTGCTGATATCAAAAGAATAAACCGTTCCGAAATCTGATAAAATGTAAACACACGTGGATATTTTCGGTTATTGACATTGCACTAAACAAGTGACTAAATAGCTTAAAGATATATAGAGGATTTTTGTTTGTTTGTGTGTAAGATGAAATTTTATTTCATCGAGTGGGCTTTAAAAACAGTATTCTCACGAGTGGCGTAGTCACGAGTGAGAATACGGTTTTTAAAGTTCACGAGATGAAATAAAATTACATCTTACACAACAAAAAAACACATTTTCTTTTTATTTTTTGCTTAAAAGTTAAAACAAAATTTCCATAATATAAACGTAAATATTCAATTCTGTTTTTCCCCATTGAGAGCCCCATTAGCCGAAATTTCAAATAAAAAAAACAAGAAGTCTTGAGCTGAAAAATAAGTCCGACAATCAACGTTAAATGACAATGATATTATTCATTTTATTAAAAAATATGAATGATCGCTTGTTTTAATTATAAAAAGTCCAACCATCCATCCATATTAAATTTTATGTTACTTACTGCGAATTTATATTAGACCTGGCTTTGTTAAATGTAAGCGGCAGCCATTTTTTAAAGTTGTGTATTTCACGGGAGGAAAATGATTGTGTTTGCTTCAGAGGGATATCACTTGGATTTGTTAGACATACACCTTTTTAAAAGAAAGAAAATTTATTAGAGGATTGTAACAGACAAAAAATAAGTGTTGACAGATGTGAAAACATTCAAAAAAGCAGGTAGGAAGATGGAAAACTTGGAAGCTGGCTCAGGAACGCTGGGTAGTTTACTTGTTCTTCGAGCTGATAGCTGTCATTGCTTTTCAATTTTTCATAATGCATACGGCAGTTATTGCTCGACGGATACTTTAATATGCCCAAATGTCATCAAGAGCAGTTATGCATGTGCAAGGAATGTATTTTTCAGTCTGTAAAATTGAAACAAAAAAAATTAGAGACGAAATTTGGTGATTAGAATTTGAATGAACAGAAGTAAATTTTCTTCTTTTTATTACTTTTGACATTTAAGCTATTTATCAATTTCAGCATTGCTTTTTCTTTAAACAGCCTGACATTGTCAGAATTGCCAGCAAAAATAAAATTGAGGTACCACATGGGGAAATCTTAAAAAGTAGTTTCGTCATTGAAAAGTGTGAAATTATATTTTGATAATTTTCACTGTGAAATTATCAAATATAATTTTCACGGATAAATCAGTTATCCACTGAAAAGCATAAAATAAACTATGCTCATCCTTGAGTAAAATATTTAATCACAGAAATTTATTGAAATCTGTGAAATTCTTACTGATTATGTCTGACTTGAAAAAAGAATGAATAAACTATGTGTTGGAAAATTTGTCCCCCTTTGCAAGTCAAGTTGTTCTTTTCTTTTAAAAAAACTACCAATATATATATATATATTCATATTGTGACCTCCTATAGTATGTAGAATTAAAAAAAATCAAATCTACTTTGTGTGAAGTCAAAACATGCTTATTTTATTTTTAAAAAAGGAATGTGTAACAATTACCAATATTTTCTAATATACTTAGACGACAACATAAAATAGGGATTGCTATCCATGTTAGTCTATATCTTGTTTTGAATGAATGCTGTCAAATATGGTTAGACTGTTTTGATTTGTTTTTTCCATTATTGAAATATATATTTCTGTTGTTTAAAACAATATTTATACGGCCATTGTAGACCAGTCTCGATTTATATTCGTTCAAACTTGAAGATCATAGCAGTAACAGATGACAATAATAACAGCAACTGTTTAATTAATTTTTTTATCTCCACATTTAATAAAATAATACTGTCAATATTTGTTGTTTTTTATTTCATTGTAATGCATTGATTGTATATCGAGTAAATTTGTCTTAAACGAAATAGCTTGAATTTCAATAACCATATGTTATCAACCTTTCCGTGTGTGTGTGTGTGTATATATAAAGTCGGTTGACAAGCACTGACACTTTAAAATGTTACAGAAAAAATACTTGGTTGTTCATTAGGGAAACGTTTTAAATGTCTCAAATTGAAAAGCATGCTCATTATTATTAACATTGTACCCGTGAAACATAAAGAGATTTTCCTTAAAAAAAATACGATGTAAGACTTTTTTAATATTTCCATTTTTACAATATATATTCAAGTTTAAGTTAACTCATCTATGAAAAGAATGATAATTCTATAAAGACTGTTGATCAAATGCTTTAATTGTAAATTATACAACATTGTTTTCATATTGTTGTGGTAACAGAGAACAAAGGAATGTTAATAAACAACTCATTATAACATTTTTAACGTTTATACAGAGATGTTTTATATTGACATTCTGAAGTGATATATTTTTATTTTTTCTTCAAATTAAAACAATAAAAAATTGAAAGATTGAATTATATTTATTCATTTATTCACTTGTATGTTTGTTTGTTTGTTTGTTTACAGACGCTAGAAAAAGTATTGTTGATTGGCTTTTTGCTACTGAGTATTTCAGTTTTCGCTGGCGAAGCAAAAGGTAACAGAAATAAAATGAAAGACTATCACTTTTACATAAAACGACTTGTAAATTCATGCTAGAAAGTGTATTTAATTTTAGCAAATAATAATTGTTTAAAATCTCATTATTTGCATTGATTAAGCTTAAATGTTAGTATCTAAATAATGGTGAATAAACATATTAAACATTCAGTGCTATGTTTTAGGGTTGGACGAAACCTGTACACCTCCAACAAATGGTGCAAAAGATGAATGTACAGTAGCCAATTCGGAGTGTAAAACTAGCACATGTGTATGCAAAACAGGATTCATTAAAGACAATGAAGCATGTCTTAAGGGTTAACTCATACTTACTGATTTTAGCATAATTATGTTTAACAAATTTATGAATTCTGGAAATATTTAAAGCGAATCTGTCCTTAAAGCATATTCTCTGTAATGCATAAGATTTTAACAACCTTATATCTTCAGCCATGTTTTTTTATGATGTCTTTATATTATGATTTTTTTGTTATTTTTTTTTTTAGTTTTTTTCGTTTTTTCAGGACGATTTTTATTCTTACTTGTGTGCACATCATTAACTGACACTTTTCGTTGGGCTGTGGGGGTATGTTGCAACGTATTTGTTTGTTTTCTTGCCACTCACTGCTGTGGATTCGAATCCCATCAGGGACTTTGGATCAATGAACAGCTAGCTGACGGAACGTCGGTTGCTCATCTCAGTTGACCTAAAATAATGCACGGAAGGGTACCTGAGTTTGTACTTTTCCAGGAAAGCTGAAAAGTCGCCATTTGACCTTTTTTGTGTTAGGGCAACGTAAACAAAAACAAAACAATAATAAATAAGTTTAAGGTTCAAGAAAACGTTCAAGACTAATATATATGTATTGTCATTTTACATACCTTCTTTTGCATTTGTAAATGTCATTTTTTTCCGCAATCATTTTTAGTTTTCGGGAGAGTTTGCGATGAAAATAACCATTGCCCTGCAGATTCGAAAACAGAGTGTAAAAGTGGCAAATGCGTTTGTGAAGAAAACTACGAAGAGAAGAATGACGTTTGCACACTAAGTAATATCATATAAAGCATATACTAAAACATTGTTTGATTCTAACATGAATCGTATTGTTTACCTGTCTGCTAGAATAGTTTCGTTTTTAGTAAAATAAAGTTTAGAAACATAAATACACACAATATCTTAAAGTGCCACAACAAATTGAATTCATTTTATAAGCTAACACAGGCATAGCGAGAAATGGTCGGCTAAGTAGCTTTAGTTTTGAGCTTAATTTGAGTGTACATAGTAAATATGCATTTGTATTTGTATTAAAATTCATATCAATATTTATGAGAAATAAAATAATCTTATAATAAAAATGTTTGAACGCTGATTAGACTTATTCTAAAATGCCTGCAGTGAATGATAGGACGGGTTTGGTGTATTTCCTTATGAGCGAATGATGTATTTGTTCAAATCATTGTTAAACTGTTAAAACCTAATAAAATGAAGTCATATTCAGTTTAGGTATGTTACATAACAGAAACATTGTATGTTAAACCCCTTTTGAGAATCTACTATTAGACTATAAAACATGTAAAAACAATGTAGCTTTTTTAATCATATTAATATTTCATTCGATATTGTTTTTATTCTAAAAACTAAATTGATAGACTTGAAAAACTAATATTTGTTCTCAATACAATTTATGTAACTCAACGTACTCATTTCTGATATCTATCAAACTCAATTTTAAGCTGTCAGCGGGACTGATTGCTCATCAGTTACAACAGCATGCGACAATATTGGAAATGCCGTCTGTGACACGGGTAAATGTAAATGTAAGCCTGATTACGTGATGAATGTTGACAAATGTGATCCAAAAAATGCTGGTGAGTAATTTTATGAAAGTTTAATATTTATATCGGTTATTTTTCACAACACTGAAGACGATAGTTGTGTTTATATTTTACAGAGCATCCTGTTTAAATCATAATAAACATATTATTGTACTGTTCTTGTTTTCTTGTTCTGGCTAATAAACAAATGGATGAATAGATCATTATACGACTTAACTTTTCCAGTACATAGTACAATACAATACAATGTCTTTTTTTTCAAATGGTTGACTGACACTTTTAGAATGTATTACTATTATGTAAAGGAATAAGATTTGTATTTGAATTTCATTTCACATGTTAGCTACAACCATTGGATTCGGTGCCATGTCACTAGCATTGTTACTTTCGACAGCATCTTTTGTGCTGTTCTAAAGAAATTTAAATTCGTAAGTAGTGTATGTGCGTATATATTTCTATTATTGATTAATTTTAGCAAATAAATAATTGGTGCAAATTGATATAGTCCTTATGCATCGTGTATATATTTAAATATTCAAATAATTATTGGTTTTCTCTGATTTTCGTAACTTATGCAAACGTTATCTTTTTTGAACAATGAAAACACATTAATTTATTCGAAATGGAAAGGCACAAACTGTTTGGCTTGTGTGTGTGTTTGGGTTTGTTTACCCTCGCCACCTGAAAGATACTATATGGGCGAGCAAAGCTAAAAACTGTCAGGCAACTTCATATCTTCTTTATATAGCACGTAACATATCCAACTGATAAGTATGTGTTATTTTATTATCTTATTCAGGTTGTGTTCCCGCCGGAAAATATACAGCGAATTATCCTGACCTTCTGTTTGTTTTGTTTGTTTTCCTGTATACGTTTGAAAAAGACATTTTTCTTTCTTTATTATTGCGGTAAATGCACTTGATTTACTTCGAAAAGTAATAGTTTCAGGATATCTTGTTTGGTATTGTAAATAAACAAAATATCTATTTATCAATGTTGCTCATAACAGTTTCATACACATGTATTACATGTACAAATATTTCAATTAAACATGAGAATTTATTTTATAAATATAGGAACCACTACAGTAAGTGCAAGTTATTAAAAAATGTAAAGGATTCCACCCAAGATTTTTAAGAATGTTAATGTTTAATTTTTTTCTTAACACTATTTCCTTATAAAAAATATGATTATATTTCCCCTTATATTTTGTTTTATATATGTTGTCTTTTCCCTTCTATATTTAATTGATTTGTTGCTTGGAGTGAAGTGTTGATTTTATTAATCTTGCAACTGTTAAGTTTTTAAATGAGGGACTGAACGTTAACTATATAATTATATTTTTGGTGGATCATGCTACTTTGTTTCATACATAGTAAAGTACTATGTAAAAACCGAAAGGGTTACTAATCGGTACTGAGTATCATCCGGAACCACGTGATGTGCGTATAGAATGTTTCGATAAAGCTCGCAAAGTTAAAAAAGATCTTACCTATATAAATACACATACCAAAATATCAACTTGTATTGTTTAATAAAGTTGTGTTAATATAACAAGGTTTGTGTGGAACTTGACATAAAAGACACTTTTTTGAGAAAAAAAAAAGTTATCTTAAAAAAAATAATGATGTAGGTTGGCCTTTCAGTATCATCAACATATGACTTAATAAGTGTTTACTTCACTGGATGATATTCCCGACAAATGCCACGTGATTATGGCTAAACGTAAATGCTCATTTAAAATATATATAATACATAAGAATAAAATAGAATTAACATCTAACATCAAGATGTTTTAAACTGATTTACTTGAGTGCGTTCATGTCGTTGAATGAAGACACTATAGCATAAATACACTTTTTCTATTAAATTCTTTGTTCATGAAGATATAATTTTAAAAAGAAAATGTACATGCATGATATTTCTATAATAATAAACGGTTGCAACTTTGAAAAGTGTTTATCTTTAATGAACTTTGAAGTTACCTTAAGGCGTATTTCTAAATAATTTTGTCATTCAGGTATATAAATATGCTAGTTCATATAAATATGCTAGTTATACCGCATGCATAGGTACAATTTAGCTGCCTCTCTCAAATGAATTATATGCCAGTGAACATACTAAAATATAATACCATATAGTATGTTGAAACGTTTTGAAACTCTTATGATGGTGGCGGTGCGCTGGTGTTGGTGGTGATGTTGATGATGATAATGATGCTAATGATGATGATGGCGGTGGTGATAATGGTGATGATAAGTTAAATGTAATAATGATGCCCATTATCACGAAATCACTTTTAATATAAGTGAAGAGTAATGATCAAACATCATAAAATTGGCAGCCGCAAAGAAGAAGATGAACGCTTGTTAGGTGGATCAGAAGATATAGAAAAGAAAATTTAAAAAAAAGATCACACAATAATCAGTTTTACAAAGTAATCGTGTGTCTGAAAACAGTCAGTTAAATAAATCAAGCTTAAAACGTTGACAAATCTTACAAATACACATGGTTTCCATACTTACAAATACGTATTTGTTTTATGTGAATGATCAAACTTGACCTATAAACTAGAATAAGATCTGTATAAATATCTTGTTTGATGAATTTGTTTACCAAGCAGTAATCGTGCAACATCAAGATGGTAATAAATCTAGAGGTACTTGTATTTTGTTGCGCTTACAGGAATACACAAGACGGTAAGTACTTTCAATCTCTAGCATGCATTTTTTAATAAATTTAAAAGAGGTAATATGTATGGGAGGATTTCTTATCAATAATGAATGTCGCATTACAGATATAAAAGTACCCTTGCAATAAAAATTTAATTCAAATATAGTTTGTAAATGTTTTGTTTGTTTGACAATCTAAAGGCCTATTTTTAAATTTAGAAAATGATCGATATCCCTATAAGAACGGACACAAAGGGAAAAGTTGAAAATCAAGTCCACCATAAAAGTTAAGCAGCTGGCAAGTATAATAATAATAATAATACCAAAAGAGATAGGATTAAGATTGCAATTTCTTATTTTAAATAAACAGTGATAAATTATTGCATTGCTTATAAATTATAAGGACTGACTTAATTACCGCAATTACATAGGGGTAATGTACTTATCATAGCCTGTAAACATATATTCATTCTAAAGTTATAAGATTTAACAGAAGGTGTCACTGTGTCCTCGACCTTCAACCTAATGACCTATTATCAATAGAATAATGTGTTATCAATTAATATAGACATTGTCTATATATCATTGGCAACCCCATACTAAGTAGTATTAATAAGAAGTCAACTTGTCGTTTACTTCAAACCATTTGCAACTCATCGCTGTGATTTGAATCAAAGAAATTCAGATTATTACTTTTGAGGACGCTATCAAAGCTTGAAAGTCACTATATGACCACTTCTGTGTTGATGCGACGTAGACCCAAACGAATGTAATTGTTTGGACAAAAATTATATTCACTGTGACCTTGACCTTTCAACTTACTATTTTAAAATCCATATGATTATTAACTGAAATGTGCAACATTCCTACCAAGTAACTGTTGGTTTATTTTGTCTCGACACGGTTGTTTTATTAGGTGCGCCGATGACTTGACCTAAAGAACTTAAAATCAATATGTGTGCGTATAAATATATCTGTATTCAGAAATGTTCCAAGATACATGATTCGAGACTTATTCCTTCTGAAGCTTTTGATAGGAAAATAATAACAGACCTAAATTGTGGACAGACGGACCATCGCAAATCCTTCCACATTTTATTGAGCTTTTATCAGAATAGTTTTTCATAAATTAGTATTCAAAAGAAAATCTACGAAATAAAAAGTAAGTATAAATCACAATGTCACAAAATGTCAATAATAGCTGAAATCTGCCAGTTTTAAAACTCTTTATTTAAAAGACAAATTTAGGCTATCGAATGTTTCACACTACGTTTGTTACGAAGATTCGTAAACCATTAATTGACCTCTAACTCATCTCATCGAGGGCATATACTCTGGATAATAAATCGACAAATCTCAATAAAGGAATTTGAAACATGTTGTCCGTGTTGCCTTGTGGAAACTGTAATAAATTAGAAAACACTCATAGATTGCTATAATAATGAGGGAAACCGCTGCATGTTATCTCTTTGTATCCGATTTTATTTGACCCAGTGTAAATCACAAACAGTTAATACAATAATAATAATTCAAATAACCTTACTAACGAATGAAAGAGCAAACACTACATTGTTAATCTTTATTTGAAATAAAACTGCTGTTCATGTTTACAGTGTCATTTCATTCTCGATGTAATCACATCAAAATGGATATACATGTATTAACGGATACGAAAGTACCAGACATTTATTACAAGATCGGGTAAAACTCGTGCACATTAGGAGGAAATAAGGTCCTTAATAATGATATGATAATTTATGTCATTGATAATTTGAACGATGATAAGATTCACAATTTTACCAAATAATGAACAGTTGGTCACTGGCTTGTTTTATGACAAAAACATTATGGAGCTAACTTATTACAATTGCAAACGGTTGCGAAGCTATAGTTTTTATATTGCGCGCCTGTAATATCAGCTATTATAATATATCTTATGAAGTCAGACCTAAATATAATCCTTTAAAATCTTATTGAATGGTTCGCTTGATGCAAAGAGAGGATAATGATACACAAAAAGAAACAAAATCAATCTTTTCTAAAATTTCCGATATTTATCGTATGCCCAAATCAAGCATGTATACTAGTTATTCATCGTCCGTGGTCGAGTACTTCAAACCACTTATGATTTCATGAATTTAATTGTTAGACTTAGGTAGGAGTGCTCACACACACACCTATACATTTGTGTTTGGAACTCGGGACTTGAGGCAGGAATATGCAATATGTATATCCAACTTCTGTAATATATTTCAAAAGTCGGTAGTACTAGAAATTTTCCGATAAGATTAAAATTTTCTGTAATATCAGCTATTAATATATATCTTATGAAGTCAGACCTAAATATAATCCTTTAAAATCTTATTGAATGGTTCGCTTGATGCAAAGAGAGGATAATGATACACAAAAAGAAACAAAATCAATCTTTTCTAAAATTTCCGATATTTATCGTATGCCCAAATCAAGCATGTATACTAGTTATTCATCGTCCGTGGTCGAGTACTTCAAACCACTTATCATTTCATGAATTTAATTGTTAGACTTAGGTAGGAGTGCTCACACACACACCTATACAATTGTGTTTGGAACTCGGGACTTGAGGCAGGAATATGCAATATGTATATCCAACTTCTGTAATATATTTCAAAAGTCGGTAGTACTAGAAATTTTCCGATAAGATTAAAATTATCTTTTAAACCCAGAAGGAAATTCAATTTTTTACCTGCTCAATACGAAATAAAAGACATGAATCACTTTAATTCTTGTTTTGTTAAATATATTTTGAAGCCATCCTTTTTACATGATTGTTTAATTTAGTACGATAGTTGTCAGACTAAAACATCTGCTCAAACTATAAAAAAAAATGTAATTTTATTAAATGAACTGTGTAGTGCTTCATATCGGAATGTATTAGCAGTTCATGTTATTAAGTAACATTTAGGACGATCAGAATTGTGACAAAGGTCGCTTGCTATTTAGAATTTGTTACGTTGATATCAATTGTCAATCAAAACGTCTAACACATGCCCCCCTGTGACGACCGTGAACACTGCGTGATCGTAAGAGGTGTTTCAACGGGTTTGAATTACTGAAGTCTTAAAAATTATTACCCCCTACACATTCGATGATAAGTACGGACTCATTACTACATTTTTTGTATCTCCTCTGTAGATATCAAACCTCCCAAGACGTTTATTAGTTTATTAACAAGGTAATGCAATTGCAAACTTTATTTCTTCTATTGCTAAGGGAATAAATCAACATTTATTGCAAATCATATATCAATAATTTAAAGATAATTAATTGTTTTTCAAAAGCAAAGCAGTGAATATATAAATGCTTAAAAATAAGGAGAGTACTTTTACAGCTTCTGAAGTACTTCATGTTTATTCATAGCATAACTGTGTTATTATGTACATACTCGTATTAGTGTTTATTTACTAAAATCTTAACAATTAAGAATCCCATACCCTTATTTTTTATTTCACTTTCAAGCTTATATATCCTTTATATTATATTAAATTTTGAAAAGAGCAATTGCTAGCCGCTGTGGTGGTAATAAAGTTTTATATGCCACTGCTTAAGAATGACAATGCTACATCTTTATACTTTTTTCAAGGCACTTAAAAAACAAATGCGAACTACAAGAACACTCTTCAGATTCTGAAAACTACAATTTGATAAAGGTATCAGCATTGTAACTGTAAACTTTTAAACAAATAGGATAAAGTCTGGTTTATTGTCCGTTTGATTGTGTTTTGAATAGATTTAATACAGATGATGATTAAAGTCTGTTTATTTTTTATCGTTCGGAGGACACATGTTAACGAATGAAATGAAAATCTTTAATGAACGTCCAACTTGTCAAATATAAATATGATACATGTAAAATAGTGGTAAAGACAAACATCCGGTCAAATCAAATAAGACCAACTTAAGTAGATTTTAATATTTTAAGTACGAAAATGGTGAAGTTCAGAATTTATTAGCGTAGATATCAGCCATTTCAAATGAAGGAATGTATATTTTGCGGATATTGCTTTTATCACTTTAAATGTAATGCTATTTTTAATCCTGAATATTTTACAAGTAATATTTAAACATTTCGGAAAGTGCATCTTTGTTTTACTTTTACATATAATCTGTTTATTCGGTATAGTGTTATATAATACGATACAGCAACTTCGAATCTGTACTTATGCATGTACCATCGTAAAGTTTTATTTGTGTGTCTAATCGTGGGGCATGCGTACATTGAATATCGCTTCCCCCTTTTTATCTTTGATCTAATATTCTGACAGAAATTTAGATTGTTGTTTTTTTATCATTATTGTTTCATTATACATATCTGAGTAGTTTGTCCTGAAACACATATTATCGCCTACATGTTTACCAATAAAAGTTTTAACTAACAAATTTGTTTTAATTTTTGTATTCGTATCTTTAGTAGTCAACTCTAAAAGGCATTTATTAAATTGTTTGCTAAATAATAAACAAACCGACAAGATATTTATATAATAGAATGCTTAACGTGTGCTCATTTGAGAATAAAAAATCAAAGACCATATGACTGGACACAAATTTTTTCCGAGTTTTTTCATCATTTGATGAGGGTGCATGCTATATCTTGTGCGCGAAATTCAAATCATTCGCTTACTCAGTTTTATCCACTATGATTGTGCACAATACCTAAAAAAAGGCCTTTATAATGCCCTGTAACTCAAATACGATTAAATTTTGCTATTTATATTGACTTTCAATTTGATTCTGGGTGCTACATACCTTTGTTATTATTTTTCATATTTTCTGTTTAAAGTGCCCTGTTTTTTTCAATTTTATGTTTTATAGACTTTAAGACGTCAGTGGAGCTCCTTTGAAGAGTATTCAAACTTCAAAAAAGTTTCAACCATCGCATTAATGTTTGTTCAAATAGACACCCCGAAGATAAATAGAGGTAGTTGCAAAACAAAACTTCAAAAACCTTCTCTAATGCTTATTTACAACAACGGTCATGTGACTATTTTGCACAGCCCCCAGATTACATGACGCATAAATACGGGCAACCACGCTCGGGTATCATATTGAGCCAGCAGAGTACGGGATATAATCATGGTAGGTCATGTTTTGTATAATATACTTACAACTTAACTTTATTATGTCATTATAAGAATAATAATTATACGTTCTGAAAGTACTAATATAATCTGTATCTATATCTGGTCATAAATATTGTCTAATGTTGATACTTCCAGTAGCAAGTTTTAAAATGTTCTTTTTTTATATAATCAAACAAGGAGCAGATAAAACACACGACAGCGCATTTTTTTACAATGCAAGCAATTTAAAACATATCTAATAAACGAAATAATTAAACAACTTTATTGATAACAATAAATATATAAACAATGCAGATGCTTATACTATTTGTGTACAGTCTTAACGTTAAAATTGATTTTACTAATTTAGCAGATATTTGGAAAATATATAAACATGTACAATGTTTTCATCTGAAATCAGAACTAAACACACTTATCTGAGTACGTTGTCATGAGTTATTTGATATCAGGAAATGCTACGGAAATAGTTTCAATGTATAAATTTATTTACCTTACATATTACATATGAATCCATTTGTATTATTGTTAATTGAAATTTATTGCCATCGTGATATTTTTTTTTTCAAAGCGCCTATTGACGTTTCTGACATAATATTTGTGATGTTAACGTTTCCTTAAATTTGGACATAATTATGCGTGGTGAATAATCGCCTATATTGAAAAGCTGACCAGCGCTATCAAAATGAAAAGATAGTGTGCTTTGTTATATTTTAAAAATGTAATGATATCAACAATACAAGCATATATATCTTAAAATGCACTGTTTATTTCGGTTAAATGGACATAACAGAGTTTAACTTGCTATACATTCCTAATATTTTCTGTATCCTTATGCTACATGAATGGTATCATTTTAAATTGTTAAAGCTGCTTTTATCTAATGATTCATGTAGAATGTTCATATATAAGGTTTGTACAGCATGTAGCGCATATATGAATGTTTTGAAACAATCTAACATTCATTGGTAATATTTTTATTGTGTTGCTAATTTATTTATATTCGGAGATGAGGGCCTAAAGTAATGTACTGTTTGATTGATTTTTATATTCCATTATCTTACAGTCAATATAGTAAGAAGAAGGCGTTTCTTCTTTATTTTCTTAACCTTATCATTTATTTTCTTCTTCAAAAAAAAGAAGAAGAAAAGTGGCGGCGTGGCTAAGTGGTTAATGCGTCGGACTAGTAATCTAAAGATTGCTGACCACGTTGGTTCAAATCCTATCAGGGGCAAGCCGTTGTTTCCTTGAGCAAGAAACTTTACATTCATTGCTTAGTACTGATTGGTTCTTTTATTTATTTCAGAAATATTCATTCGCCACAATTGTACTTGGAATGGTGTTTATACACTGTTGTAAAGCAGGTACGTTACATTCTGATTTTAATATAAACGCATAAACTCTGATCAGTTCTTATATGTTCAACAATTTAAGTAGACATCGTCGCCAATGTAACTAAAATAGTTACACTATGCATTACCCTGTAATTTTAGCTCCAGAAACTGATATTTATAACGTGATAAATGTTCCGTGTGCAGTATATATGTGCAGTTTTATATACATATATATAAGACTGCAATATCTGTTTATATGTATATAGCTTTCTAAAGCTTAATACGTTAAGGCAGAAATTGTAAAATCTTGTTCAGTATTGTTAATGCGACTGTTAAAGTTATGGAAATTCTTAATTTACTTATTGATAAATTGACAAGCTTTATCTACCGGATGTAATACATGTACTGAGGATGTGGCGTGGGTCCGCAAGATTCTACGTGTGGTTTTAAAAAAATTCTGCTTGTGACGACGTTCAGATCAAGACGGGTGCGAGATAAAATGTTGTGTTTTATAATGAAATTTTAGATGTATCTAAATTGGTAGGGATTCAAATAAAAGAACTTTTCGATAAAATCAAAATCCTTTGTTTTTGATTTCTGAGAAGTGATCAGTGATATTCCAAAATATACTATTAGAATGAATGTTGAAACATGTGGTAATCCTCACTTCATACTAGATTTCATTCGAGGTCAATTACATGGATCTATTTACATAAATTAAGCACTTTGTATAATATATAAGCGACACATGACTTTGTCGGCGATAGTCAAGTGCCTTCTCATGACTATGTCAATATCCGCTATCACAACGGTATCCAGTAATACCACATTTAAAGGTCTACTTTGAAGGATAAAGTGATGTTTAATTACTTATTAAATTACAATATACATACACATTTTACAAATGTAAATTTAATTGACTCATTAAGACTTAACTTCATAACATATTTAGATTATTACTGTAAAAATGCCAAGGAATGTACTTGAGTATGCAAATAATTTCATTTAATCCTATTTTATATGTTATTTGTGATGATTCGAACGGTTGCATAGGATTCTCAAATACAGCATGCACTGGTGACAAATGCGAGTGTATTCACATAAACTGTTTTATTATAGAATTAACGTAATGAAATAACATTGCCTAGGTAACTCCTTCATGAAACAAATATCTAAGCAAACTGATTTACAATACTACGGTAAAGGTTTGATATGTTTTAAAATAGAAATGGAATGATTTGCTACTTACTGTGGAATAAAATTGCAGCTGTAAGTGACACAACTTGTACGCCAACCGGAACAGAATGTGACGCCATAGATAACTCACATTGTGACACTGACAAATGTAAATGTAATTATGGCTTTGTCATGAATGTAGATGTTTGTGCCGCAGATACTTCCGGTAAATCAGATATGCATACATAAGTTTACATATTTAAGATGTACAAATACTCAATATTTACCGTTTTATTTTCATTTAATAAAAACAAATGCAATTGATTTAATTTCTGATATTAAAACAAATTTTTTTTTACTAGTATAAATGTCATTAACTAGTGTATTTAGTTGTAAAAACAACATTTACCTATCGGCAACATGTATTGTACTTTAATTGACATTCATGTACAAGAGTAAAGTACCTCGTATAGTGCGATTTATGATTTTTACATTTGATATGTCATTTGTCAAATTTCAAAATAAAATATTTTTACAGTGCACTAAAGATATAATATTTAATTTGTTTTCATTGCATTTAAAATGTTATCAAAATCTGATTCAACATTTTTAACATTGGAAGCAATGACTATATTGATCATTCACGATTGTATGAAACACACTGATTAGTCTCCCGCATAATTTGATCTTGTTTATCATATTTTGTTATAATATGATTAATAACAGCTACATATGTTGTGTTGATGTGTGCTAAGAATTCAGAGCATGTGTTGCACACAATAAACTTTTCGTTTAAGACTTCAATAATTTGCTGTTTCTTTACTACTTCGCCCTCGGCATATTGTTTAATATCATATCTTTTAGGGAAAGTGACAGATACAGGCTGTACAAAAGATGCTGCAGCCCAGTGTAAGCATACTACAAATGCAGAATGTGACAATGCTGAAACCGGTGCTAAATGTAAATGCTCTGATGGATATGCAGAAGATATAACGAATGGCAAAACTTGTGTGAAAAGTAAGTTTATGTGTTTATCAGAACTTACGAAAATCAATAACGTATTAGCTGATAACTGAATGCTTAACTTCAATTTTCATGTAATGCTCGCAATTCCATAACATTCTGAAATAAAAAGTCCAATTTCACTCATTGAAGTTTAAATGAACATGTTTTGTTCATTGCCAAACAATATACAAATCAATGAATTAATGGAAATGTATTTTCCAACATAACACTTTTTCTGTTTTAAGCCGTTAGCGGAACAACATGTACCGCAGCTGGAACAGAATGTGGCGGCATTGATAACTCACATTGTGACACTGACAAATGTAAATGTAATGATGGTTATGTGATGAATGTCGACGTTTGTGCCGCAGATACTTCCGGTAATCAGATATGTATTAATACATACACGAAACTAATTTATGGTAGCTATAGTAACAAAGGAATTCAGTACCACTGTTTACAGATCAATTTGTTTGCAAATGTAAATTAAATGCGTAAAAAGGAGTATTTTCTGGTGCAAAACCATTGCTCGTACCTTTTTAGATTTACGATACACAAATACTTAATACTTATCCGTTTTATCCGTTTTTAATAAAAACAACTGTTAAATTGATTATATTTGAAAATATTAAAACAACGGATTTTTACTAAGAAGACTTAATAATATATCTGCTATTAACAAGTATATTTAGTTGTAAAAATAACCATTTACCTATCGGAAACATGTATTGTAATTTGTATTGTAATTAACATTCATGTACAAAAATAAAGTACCTTCTGTAAGTGAAATTTATCACCTGATAATTTGAACAAACATTTGTCAAACTTCAAAATAAATTATTTTTACATTACATTGCAATTATAATATTTAATTTGTTTTCATTGCTTTACAAACGTTATTAATAATCGATTTAACGTTTTAAACACTATATTGATTATTCACGATTTGTATGAAACACACAGATTTGTTTCCCGTATAATTTTGTTCTCATATCAATTATGTTGTGCTCTAAGAATTTGGTGAACGTGTTGCACAATAAACTGATTGTATTTTGCTGTTAAGTCAACATATTGTTTAAAATTAAATGTTTTAGGGAAAGTGACTGATACAGGCTGTACAAAAGATGGTACAGACCAGTGTAAGCATACTCCGAATGCAGAATGTGACAATGCTGAAACCGGTGCTAAATGCAAATGTTCTGATGGATATGCAGAAGATAGAACGAATGGCAAAACTTGTATGCAAAGTAAGTTCATGTGTATATCAGAACTTGTTTTATTTATTATCCTCTATTATACAACCCATCCAGAAACTTTTTTCTAAACTTAGATACGTATAAGCTGATATCTGTATCAGATTTAGTACATGTTTCAGGTAATGCTCGCACTTCTATAACATTCTGAAACAAACAGTTCTAGTTCATTTCCACTCATTGAAGTTTAAATGAACATATTTGCTCGTTGTAACACAATATATATGTACAAATCAATGAATTAATGGAAATGTATTTTCCAACATAACACTTTTTCTATTTTAAGCCGTTAGCGGAACAACATGTACCGCAGCTGGAACAGAATGTGGCGGCATTGATAACTCACATTGTGACACTGACAAATGTAAATGTAATGATGGTTATGTGATGAATGTTGAAGTGTGTACCGCAGAAAATGCAGGTTAATTTCTATGTAATTATTGTTAAACTGTGTACCGCAAAAAGTGCAGGTAAGTACTCTGTATTGAATATTAAAGTGTGTACCGCAAAAAAAATGCAGGTAAGTGCTTTGTAAAGAATGTTGAAGTGTATACTGCAGGTCACACAGATTTGTTAAGTTAAATTCTAGTCATGATATTCGTCAATGAAAAAGAACGAAATAATTGTACACAAATATCCTTTATATATTATGTTACCTCTAACTGTTTCCTATTCACATACTTTGTGTTTCAAGATAATGTTGTTTAGTGTGATGTGAATTTAGAGATGCATCTTGCTCATCTTTTAAATTCTAACAGAAATTAAATGAAACGTAGAAAAATCGATTTAAAAAAACTATATTTAGTACACTTGATCAAGTATATTTTTGCGTCCTTTTTAAAGAATGCCAGTTGCTTTTTTGTGGGCTGTTATCTTTATATGACACTTTGGATTCATATTATATTTACCTATAATGTGTAGAGTTTAAATTTTCTAATTATTATTAATTATTGTTTCAGCTACACATGTTCAGTTTGGAGTTCTGACATTATATCTCAGTTTTGGTTTGGCCATGGCGCAGAAACTTTTCTGGTAAATGCATGTTTCGTTATAATTATTTGATTTTTCTATCAATTTGTTCAAAATGGAATTGTTATCAATATATCGCACATAGAATAAATCCTTATCAAGAAAGCCTAGAGCTATTTGTAACATACCATATTTTTTGTTTGATATTAAAAGTATAAAGCCGAATACTGCACAATAAATATAAAATGTATTTACCTATTTACCTATGATTAAGGTATACATGAGATTTATCTAAAGATGGAATTGTAGTAAATACACACATTCACAAAGTTTTTATTTATTTATTTTTTTTTTCAGATTGAGAATCTGGAATAGAGCTTCATCTTTTTGCGATTGACACCTTTTCTCTATAATTTATTCCTCTCTATAAAAGTGTGATATGGCGATATGTGGCCAAGGAACTACTAAACTTTTCATTTTACAAAAAAAAGTGTTTAAATATTCAAAATAAAGTAACGACTGTTTAATTCTTGATTGAAATTATATGGTTATATATATGAACATGTTTTGCTTTTTGATTAGCAAAACATAATTTTTCGTATAATTATAAATTATGTTAAATGTTATCTTAGCGAAATGGGCTATTAATCGGTAAAATAGTATTTAATATTGATTACTCAACTGTATAATTAAAGTTTGTTGGCCTGAAGATAATCTTTGTTGATGTAACGAAACATTTACACAAGTAAACACAATTTACCTACAGTTTCAACAGCGGTGTTTGCATTGTAATAGAATGGACATAAAATGGTGTAACTAAAAGTTAAATGCATTTAGATTTACTTTAGTTTTCCAATCATTATCACGAAGTTCCTTTGAAAACAAAACAGGAAAATGTTAACAAAATATAATTACCGACGAAAGCCAAATGACTATATACTACCAAATGTTTCATTCGAGAATTTAATTATCTGAAAATGCAGGATAACCAATTAATATACATGTAAACACATTTACAACTCCAAATGAAGCATTTTTGAATTATATTGATAATATTCCTATAATATAAAGACATCTGATGAATATATAAAATTGGATTCTATATTTATAAAAATGTATAAGAAAGACTTGTGAACTAAATAAACAGTTGTTATTTAAAACGTTGTGATTTTATTTCTTCCCGTGCGTATTTATTTTGTCAATAATTTATATATCCTCTCCTTTTTATAAGTCAATTAAAACTATCGACCAAACACCTGTACTAGGTGAATATTAAAAAAGAGAAAATAAGAATCCCTAAAGAAAGCCCAACACGTCAAAATTGAAAATGTTGCAGGCTCGGTTTGATTGAGCCTGTTCAAGGACGGTATTGTCAAGTACAAACTACCGTCCACGCCCTTAGCACAGTCTTAAGCAGAATTCAACATTTGAACAGATGTGTTTATACGGCGGTTATTATGGAACCTTCAATGTGACACTAGTGCCATTCCATGAAAAGTGACGTATGTTCCTCAAGAAATAAAAGGCGTGTGCTCTGAACGAGAAAACAAAATAAAAATTTGAAAGGGGATCAGAGGTTATGAAGCCTGCATATCACAGATAAGACGTCAAAGGGCAAAAGTTTAAAACAGGAAACATAGCCTAAGGGTGACTCAACATTCAAGTAGGAATATTGGAACCACCCAACCAGAAAATGCCAAATACTTAAGCTAAAAATACCACAAACACAACAATAATGTCGACCTGAACGATTTTTAAGGAACGGAAATATAACATCTCTAATTGAATGTTCGGGGCGACTATTTACAGTCTCCACACGACACAAACAACGCTGATGTGGCGATAAAATAGAGAAAATAAGAATCCCTAAAGAAAGCCCAACACGTTTAAGTTCATTTTCAATCTATGTTTATAAAATATTTAAATTGTACAAAGCTATATAGATATTTTATGGTGTTTTACAATTCCTTGTATTCAATTTTGTCTGTCAATTATTTCAAAATACATGGATTTCCTTTAGAACCATGATACTTTAAACTTTAATTAAAATTTCTTCTTGATGTTCAATTATTGGAGACACATGTAGTGACGATAAAGTTTTGACAGTTTTAACAAACACATCGTCTGACAAATATGCAGAGTTATGTCTATTGGTACCAACAGTAAGCATCTTAAATCTTTCTTTTTAAAATAATCAGGCCGTTTATTGACCCGAAACATTTTTAAACTGCCTATGTTGTGATTTTGTCAAACGGTAAATATCAAAAATATATAATGATACATACATACATATACAAGTATATTATACTCACAGAAAAAAGAATTCTGACATTTCAGTTTGAGCACACAGTTTCAGACTTTAGAAAAGTGTGTCTCCCTTTTGAAAGTGGTTTGAAGGCGTTTGAAATTCTGAATGCGAACGCAATTAAATTGTGCAACAATGCATGCATTCGATGCAACACCAGAGCTACACTCCTTCAAACGGCACTTTACTGCTTTTTGTTTTGTCTTGAAGTAACAATAACAAATTTAACCTCAAGTTTATGTTACTTGATAATATCAAACGTGTCCACTTATGCCCAAATAGACCATTCATAATTGAAATGCATACATAGTCAGTATTCTTTGTTAAATAATGAAATAAAAGTGAAGTATATTTACTTGTCTATTAAAAATCAAAGCAACCATTTGTTATGAGATGACGCTTAGAACTTTATGTCGTAAAGCTGCATCTATGTTATAAAAGAAATTTTTTTTCATATTTTTGATAATGCCGTGTTTTTGTTGTTGTTTTAATTAAAATGCCAAACGTTTTTACAAACATTTTATCCTTTAAATTTTAGGGGTAAAACTTGTACAACGGGCGAAAAAGAATGTGATGGCGTTACTAATTCACTATTTGATGCTAATAAAATTAATGTTAAAATGATGCTGAATTTGTATCAGTGTAAACAGTGGAGGTAATGCTAACCAAGTATATTATATCAAAGAAAGTGAGACAAATTTACGTTACTTTATCTGTTCACATCGATCATTTTAAAAACTGTAGGATATGTGCATCACACAAATATATTGATAGTCATATTGTATATTTTTGTAGAACAATTTGTAGAATTGGATCTCAGGTGCCCCTTCCTGGACTGTTATATGACTGTAATACAAAATAAAATACTATTAGATGCTCAGTTGACTAAAATGATCTTTTTCTAAGAAAACGACAACAAAATATTTCTATTTGGTTGAACATAAAAAAAGTGTATGCGACTTTTTTCAATCAGAAAAAAAAATTGTCACTTGATCTGAGCTCAGTAGTACAGAAAGAAAGTGAGTCATTTTTAAACACAAAATTTTACCTATCATTGGATTACTCAAAAGTCAGTATGAATTATGTTTGTTTCAGCTTTTTGTATCAATCTTTATAACGTTTTCTTTTAGTCCGTATTTTTGGCTGTTCTTTTTTCTTCTTCTTCTTTTAATCTTTTTGAATTGAGAATATTAATATTTAAAATGAAATGATAACTGTTTTAATTATTTCATGGCAAAACTGTGTTGTAGTTAAAGCTTGATATGTATTTGATACAAAAGATAAACAACTTTTCCTAATTAAAAACTTATAAGTTGACAAGAGTTATCTTCCTGATTTTATATACCCGTAACAAATATTGCAAGCGTATCCTTCACTTCACCTTGCAAGATCATTGAAATAGTTGAACGATTCAGTACATCACAACAAATAATTGATAAAAGCAAATGTACGCTAGTATCAATTATATTTGACAATAAATGTCATAAAAATGACAGGCAACGAACACAGTTTTAGAATTGAAACGCAGATTTTAAGATTTAGTGTGTCGAAAAAAGACATTTACAATACATTTAGTATATGGACCATTAACTCAAACGCTCTGTTCATGCGATTGTTCCTCTTTCTCCTTTGATAGTGTAACGAACATGTTCCTTTATTCTTGCTTTCTGGTCCTTCGGGATAATTGAGTCCAGCACTTTTAGTGTTCAGAATTGAGTTCCGATCAAGCCGGTGCTTGGGGCGTGAGGGATGTTGCATTTATTCATTATCCCTCATGTACAGACTCTATCAAACCGAGTATGCAATTTCCATGTAATTTTGTTGTGATTAATGCTTCCGAGGGATCACTTTGTTTCCAGAGTTTTATAATAGCGTAATTTAAGCTGTCACATGCAGTGCCCTTAGCGCTTTGACCTATATTGCAATGTTAAGATCAGTTTCTTTTATCATTAAATAATATTCAATGACAAATCAAGTTTCTGATGGAGATTAATACGTTTTATTATGTAAAATAGTCCGTTTATTCGCTTTAAATGTCTGTAATTGGGAGATTGGTACATATGCGATACCATAGCGGCTCTTTCGGAATTCAGTCTCGGTTTAAGGAAAACCTTACAGAAAGATTATCACACAATTTGATATACCAAAGAATTCCAGGGATTCTTAAAGTAACAGCAAAGTTAACGTTATCTCTACAATATTACTTTAATTTGAGGAATATTCTATTGACGATGATATATAACAAGTCACGTAGCTTGGCTAGCATAGAAGAGGTGTTATATTTACAATACATTTTTGCCATTGAAGTAATAATGTATATAAAACTTTCTAAAACAGTTATTTATCAAAGCGGGCGCTATGGTGCAGTGGTAGCACTGTCTCACGACCAATCAAGGGATCACGAGTTCGATTCCCCGCTACTTCACTAAAGAACAAAATTACTACGAGACTGACAAAACCAGATCATAGAAATGTAGAGACTAATACAGACTGAAACTGACCAGAACTCAATTCAAAAGACTTAAAGGAAAAGAGGAAAACAATCGTGATGGAACAGACAGCAAAGGACATACAAAAAGATAACGGCAGACAACAACAAATACTTAATTGAGAAACAATGCTTCAAGAAAATGAATGGAATAAACGACACGACACGAAAAGTAACAAATAAAAGGACTCAATGGAACAAGACAGCAACGATACAGACAAACGAACATTGAAAAGGAGCAGGATAGAAAGATCGATAACAGAAGAAAAAGCGGAATACGCAACAATAGAATATGTTAACTAATACTGACAGCAAAATACTTAATAACAGAAAATAAACTTTGAAAATAAAATGATTTGCAAATTAAACATTCTTGTGATTGCTTGTTTGAATTCATGTCACACTGACACAAACAAAAAAGCGACTTTCTAGTAAGTACTTTAAGAGACTATGTGTTCCTTATCCAAATACAGGGGTACTTTATAAAACCCATTGACCATCAATAACATGTTATTCAGTATGAGCATACTCCATCTCTTATAATGTAGATTGTCAAAGAGGATGAATAATACGATACGGTGAGAATATATTCAGAATAAGAAATAATATAAAAAATTCTGTGCGAAATTTTGCCCGAGTTGAGTGAAAAGCATTACAACGCTTTTTTTTATTTAAGGGTCATTTTGAATATAATAAATTATCAATCTGGAAAACCTATAGATTATTACCTAAAAGTTTGCACACAAATATTATTGCAGGCCTACATCCAATGGTACACAATTTTCGTGAAAATATTTCCAGTCTAGGCATTTCAAAACAAACTCAGTGGTGTTCCTTTAATGTATCGTATTATTGCATTCTTTAAGTTTAAAATGAAATAAATTAGCTTTGTTATGCGGTGGAATGCAGAAATTTTATTGCTTAATTATAGGCTTTAACATCTGATAATGAATACTAAATCTGCCAAGATACTTCTGTAGACTTGTATTAATTTGTTCTAGTCTTAACAAGATTACATTTTGTAAGTGAAGTATTTGATTTTATCATTTAAACAGATGGATTATTTCAAATAATCAAGTATTTTATGGCATACTGTTATAACAAGGATCTATTCTAACAACGGATGTGCGAATATTTATAAGTTATGTCTTAAGTTAATAAATAACTCTTATCCTTTTGCAATCATTTGCTCACAATTTACTCAACACCCACTATGTACTTGTTGCCATATGACTGTGTATGAAGAATAAGAGATATTTTAGCAAGGGCATGTATTATCTGTTTGGGACGTTGGATATTTAACAAGATTTTATACTTGTCAAAACTACTTTAAATTTTGAATCAATGTTAATTTCTATTTC